TAAAATTATTTTAGCATGGTTTAGTACTTTTAAATTATGATCATTTTCATGATGACTTGTTAATTTGCAATATTTGTTTTACACGATTTCATTATTATTATTTTTTTGTTGGATATTTTAGTGTCATTACTCATATCATATTTTGTATAATTTTCTTAAGAAACACCTTAGATAGTTGTATTTTGGTAGGACTAAAGAAATATTTGGAGTACAAGTAAATTATATGTTTGTATGAATACTTTACCGGAAAAACCTGAAAAAACCCAAAAATTCCAAAAACCCAAAAAAACCCGAGGTTGAAAAACTCGAGTTTAATTGGTTTGGTTTATAAATTTAAAAATCCGACACAAATGATTAGGTTTGATATTAGAAAAATTCGAACCAACCCGGCCATGTACACCCCTAGTAGAGTGTATAAAAATAATGCTTTATAGAGTGTATTACCAATGCTTGCATTAGTAATGCTTGTATTAGTTATGTTTGTATTAGTAATATATATTACTCTTATCTAATAGTGTCCACATGATTCAATATTCCATAGACAACTAAAAATCTTAACGACAACTAGGATGAAGCTACACGTGGAGACATGATCATGAAAAGCTCTACTCGTCATCACTCTAACTAAAGTTACTAGCACTATAACACAAAAACAATAACATACCTAGTGAAATCCACAACTGAGGTCTGGGGAGGGTAGAATGTATAGAGATCTTACCACTACCTCGTGAAGATAGAGAGATTGTTTCCGAAAATGACCCTCGACTCAAATGTACTTTATTACGTTAGTGAAGGAGAAGCAAGAAAAATCACAGCTGACATTCAAATGATTCAAGAAGCAAGGTTAGATTTGTGATAGATCATTTTCTTTTATGATCGTGGTGTCCGGGCCAATTTTCGCACACCTCGACTAATTCCATGGGATACTTGCCACCAACAGGTACCAAGTAATTCCGTCCACCAAGGCTAGGAAAGATGGGAAGAATCACCTAGTGTTTTTTTGTCTTGGATGAGTTTTGAACCGGAGACCTCGAGATTCTTAACCACTTCATTGACCACTAGGTCACACCCTTGGGTGTGATTTGTGACAAATCAAGATCACACCGATAAACCATAATTCAAAAGAAATAAGATATATATTACTCCTATCTTATAGTGTCCATAGGATTCAATGTTCCATAGAAAACTTAATGCGTTAGAAGACAACTAAACATATTTGGTAGTCAGAGTTACCCCGTAACTCTTTTTTTTTTTACAAAGGTAACAATTTTGTGTATTAATCTTTAGCACTAAAGGCTGGGATCCCAAATTTACATCATGGAGCTACATACAGTTGCGTGTACTTAAAACAAAACTAAACTAGATCCTACTTCATCTTACAAAGGACCTAGGATATCTCTAACCGCTATAGGATCATCTATATACTCCGAACTGCACCAATAACAAAAAGTGATTATGCAGTTCATTTTAATCCTGTGTAAAGGACTACTAATACTCTCAAAGCATCTCATATTTCTCTCCTTCCATATGGTCCACCAAATCACTGCTGGGACAATCCTCCATCTGCTTTGGTCTGTACTGCCATTGCCTTCATTGTTCCAGCTTTCTATAGCCTGACTTACCCTTTGTGGCATAGTCCAGTTTGTGCCCCTGAAGCTGGTAAATAAGTGCCACAATTGTCTAACCACTTTGCAATGAAGAAACAGATGGTTGATTGTCTCTGCCTGTTGGTCACAAAAAAAAATCTATGACACATATGTATTCCCCTCTTCATTAGATTCTCCTGTGTTAGTACCGCCTCTTTAACTACCAACCAAGTAAAGACTGTCACCTTATATGGAATTTTGACTTTCCAGATAAGCTTCCAAGGCAAAAATCTGAGTTGAGTCCCCATTTGATTCAGGTTCTTGTAGGCAGAGCTAACTGTGAAGATACCTTTGCTGTGATGAATCCACCTAAGAGTGTCTTCTCCCTCTTTCAATCCTCCAAAATGGTCCAGGGTGCCATAAAATTCAGCTAGTCTGTCCACCTCCTAGTCTTGTATCCTCCTTCTATATGTTAAGTTCCATTCATGAATGGACCAAACTTCTTGCACCGTGGCCTCATGTTGTTGATTCAACAGATAGATGTCTGGAAAGAGCTGTTTGAGGCAACCATTTCCTAACCAATTATCGTCCTAAAACAAAATCTTTCTTCCATTGTTTACATTGAATCTAGTTCTTTGAAAGAAACAATGCCACAAATTTCTGATTGATCTCCATAGGCTAATACCATAGGTAGAAGTCACTTCCTTAGTTTTCCAGTGATCTATCTTCTCATACTTGGCCTGAATCACTCTAACCCAAAGGGCCTGCTCCTCTTCAGGAAATCTTCACAACCACTTCATCATAAGGCTTTTGTTCTATTTCTTCAATTTTCTAATGCCTAAACCACCTTGTTTCTTTGAAAGAATTACAGTCTTCCATTTGACCAAATGAAATCCTTTGTATTCTTTCTCTCCATTCCACAAAAAAATCCTCCTTAATGCATCAATTCTTTCCTCCACCGTAGGGGGGAGAGGAAAAACTGACATCAAATATGTTGGCAAAACATCTAAGACTGAGTTGATCAGGGTCAATCTTCCACCTCTAGACAAATATTGTGCTTTCCATCTAGATAGTCTTCTTTCACATCTCTCCAGCACCCCATTCCAAATTTCATTGGATTTGCTTTTGGCTCCCAAAGGCATCCATAAATATATTGTTGGTAGTTTACCTATTTCTCCTCCCAAGATCTCTGTCAGATGTTGCATTCTGTTCACCTCATTAATTGGGAAAATAAGACTTTTTCTCCAGTTGATATGGAGACCTGAAGTTGCTTCAAAAAGAATTGAGTATCACTCTCAGGATCTTAAGTTGGCTTTCTTCTGCATCACAGAAGATGAGAGTGTCATCTGCATATTGGAGATGAGTGACTTCCATCATGCCTTATTTTTCTATTAGAATAGACTATATAGATATATTTTTCTCCATAGACTATTCGAATAGGGAAAAAAACAATTTGGCATAGACTATATAGATATATTTCTCCATCATGCCTTATTTTTCTCTAGTTCTACTGTGGATTCTAAGAGATTGTAGGTCTATCAAAGAAACTTCCTTCCATGTGATATTAAGTCTATCTAGTCGCCTTTTCAACACATTCACTCACCATGATTATACACCTATTGACTGGTGTATCTAGAGGTGACTATGCAAGACATGACCAAACCATTTTCTCATAATTGTGTGCTAACTTGCACTTCCTGCCAAATGTGGTTACTTTTAATATTGTCTATATGTGAACTTACTAAGTGTGCAATGTCAACGGTGAGATGCAAAGTCAGTTTAGACAAAACATGAAGATACTAGCTGATTGCACAACATCATACAGAGTATCATGTGTAGTGTACCAGAGCCAAGAATCATTAGTGCCTTTACCCTTGTCTCTCAAAATGTCAAATATTGTAGTGCTTTCAAAACCATGTTCTTCCATATGAGCTGAAAACATAAGTGGTTGCATTACTGGATTCACTAAGCAGACAGGTTGTACAACGACATTCTTGAGTACATTTCAATGAAAATGATTGCTTGGATTTCCCTTTGCACTTTGCCTATGAACACCATATTTTGGATTTACAAAGATTACAGTTCAAATTTGGCTACAACAGCTAAGGTCTTGCTTTAAAGACTAAAGGTACATATACCGCATAATCAATTTGTCATCAATCCAATAGGAGCTTAGATCACGGAAATCAATAGTCGTAGATGGACTTACATTTTAAAAGGATCTCAACAACATAAAGCACCTTTATTTCAAGTATCGCACAAAAGATATCTACCAAATTCCGAAGATATATCCCTCGAAAGATCTACTTCAATCCAATAATGAAAAAAGAACTATTATCTTATAGAGAAATCTTTTTTGTAAAAATGGTCTCCTTCTGAATGATGTGATCAACTCAAGAATACTTGTCTTCCATCTTTAAAGTATTTGGTTTTGTAGAAATTTTCCTTTTTTTAATCTCCTCCTTTTGTAGAAACCATGAGAAAATAAAAAGGTCATAGGGAGCCTTAAAGAATCTTCCATAGTGGTAGTTCACTCATGAAACCCATGGATCTCACTCCGTGTTCTTTATTTTCTTTTAACAATCAAATACTACACCAACAATTATTATAATTCAAGCCTATTCCACACTATCAGTAAACATTTTCATTCTTCAGAAATCAAGCCTAGCTAACATCCTTGGATATGTAGAGAAACAGTTCCAAAGTGTAGTAAAGGAAGAAAAGTGCTCACTCTCAACAATGAAAACCCATTTCTTTAATTCCTATACACAAAAGAAAGCATTTATATAGTTACCATTGAAAAAAAAACAGTTTTATACCCAATTTATAACAGGTTGCAACAAGCCGGCTGGCCAAAGAGAATCAACTAGTTTAACTAGCCTGGAAAAGATTCTTCCTGCACCATAGGTACAGATATATTTAATCTGCTCTATGTTGTTTATCTTGTCATTGAGACATCTATCATTCCTCTCAATCGAAATAGATAACAATTACTCCCTCTATTTATAATTGTTTGTCCTATTTTGACTTGGCACGAAGTTAGAAAGTAAAGAAGACTTTTGAATCTTGTGGTCTAAAATTAAAGGTATGTCAAATGTACCAAATGCTCTTTAATGTTCTGGAAAGTTGGAATTAAAGAATTGCTAAGTAGAAAAGAGGCATTCTTTTTTAAACGGACTAAGAAGGAAAGTAGGACAAACAAATTGAAACGACGGGATTTTTGTCTCTTCTTTGTGCTTCTATCAAAAAAATACCTGAAGTTAACTAAGTAGTACTAAAAATATTGATATTACTAGACTTATAATGTGTACACATAAAGACACTCACCATTATATTATTATTATTTTTGAAATTGGTATGGTCACCAGAGTTCTCATATTAAGAGTGCAAGCACATTTGATTTCTACGAAAAAGAAGAGCTGATAAATAACTCAACATATCAAAATTGAAGTACCTCCTCAATAGGTCTGCCTAGAAAAATCAAGCAACATTCTAATTGCCATCAGCTTCTGCAATGCATTGGATGCCACTTGTTTTGCAGGGATAAAAAGGAAATTGTATTACAGCCATAGCCTAGCTGAATAAATCAGGCGATCACTTCTTGTTTCTTAAGTGAAGCTCCGGTATGATGTCAAGGACGGAAGGATTCTCCCTTATGACGTTTATCAATAACTCAGTTGTAGTTGCATCAAGTGACAAGCCCCTTCCCGCTATTTTCTTCATAAATGTTGCCATTTCACTAATTTTGTTGCACCTGAGATATCCTTGCACAACAACATTGTAAGTGACATTGTTGGGAAAACAACCATTGTCTTCCATATTTCGTAGAATATCGTTAGCTTCATCCAAAAACCCCTCAAGACATAATCCTTTTATCATTATAGTGAATGTTCTCACATCTGGTAGCACTCCAATTAAAGGAAGATTCTCAAAAATGGCACAAGCTTTGTCGAGTTTACCATTTTTGCACAAGCCACCAATGACAATATTGTAAAATATAATATCAGTATTTTCTCTCTTTCGTTCCAACTTACTAAAGAGCAACAAAGCTTCTTCAACAAGTCCATACTTAAAATAACCATTGAGCACAATGCCATGAGTGTAAAAGTCAGGTATGGGCCCTGCAGATAGCATCTCAGCAAAGAATTTTTTTGCATCGCCTACTCTTCCAACTTCAAACAGACCTTGCAAGATAGTATTGTAGGTAACAATATTTGGTTCTGATCCCTTTTCAGAAATTTCACAAAACAACTGCATGGCCTCATGTGTTTCATTACTAGTATGTTATAGCTAGTAATGTTAGGCTCAATGCCCTTATCAATCATGATATCGAAAATTCTCCTCGCTCTATCCACTTTACCACGCAAACAATATCCATCTATTATCGCATTGTATGTGATTGTATTAGGCTCTACACCCTTTTCGACCATGTGTTTCATTACTTTCTCAGCATCTTTGACTTTCCCTTCTTTGCATAGTCCATCTGTTATTATGTTGAAGGTTTGCACATCTGGGTACATATTAAGGTTCACCATCTCAGAGAATAAAGTCTTAACCTTTTCCCACAGACCGAGCTTACACAAACCATCAATCAATGAATTATACGTTAATATGTCTGGATGAATGCCTTTCTGTTTCATCTCATTCAAAAGGTCTATAGCAGCATCTAAGTTTCCATCTTTGCAAAGGGAATCTATAACGATGTTGTAGATATATATGTTGGGCTCAGTGTTACCTTGTTCCATTAACCGGAGCAAACTTAAAGTCTTCTGAGTATGACCCCTTTTGCTTAGCCCATTCATGACGATTGCATACATGATTTCGTTAGGCTCACAAATCTTGTTTCTGACCAATTTTTTGAACAATTCAACAGCATCTTTAACCTTATTTTCAGCAAAGATTCCTCTTAATAGGGTGTTAAAGGTAACAGTATTAAATGGAATGCCATTCTTCAAGTAAATAGGTAACACCGAAAATCCAAAATGAGCATGATGCATCAGGCAATAACTATTAATCACACTAGTCAAGATGAACCCATCAATTGGAATACCCAATATCTGCATTTCGCGAAAAAGAGAAACAACAGTCGAGTAATGCTTCATACTTATCATATTCTTAAACAATTTAGAGAAGTCGACAAGAGAAGGAAGAGGCTTCGTTCTAACCATTTGATGAAAAAGAGTAACAGCATTATCAAAATTGATGCTTACCCCATGTTTACAAATGGATTTATTAGCACTACCATAAATTTTTCTCATCTTCACCTGAATGAGAGAGAATTGCACACCGCAACGATCCCCCAGATATGCCCTAATTTTGCCAGTCACTGTTTTTGGAGTCAATAATTAAGACTCATGTCACTTTTTCTCAATTTTGAAATTTTTTCGTCACGTTATTTTTCGTATTTACAAAGAACCTAGAGAAAAAAAAAGAGACATTTTTCTAAAAATGGGCATGATTGGAAATTTGGAATATAGATGAGGTAACATACGAAATTTAAAAAATAATAGAGATAATTTAGATGGATTTGGAATCAAAATTCACAAACTTAAGTTCTTCTTGCATTCAGAGTACTTCAGTTATGATTCATTAGACTTAAAGTTCAATTCAAATATTTTAGTTCAAGCATCTCAAGATATTGTCTCAATAAACTTATTCAGTTGTTTTAGAGGTTTCATTAGACATAGTCATTCCATTTCTAATATTCACAACTTCCACATTATTATAGTAGCAAGTCTTAGAAAATGCCAAATTAAGAATTCGCTTGGGACCAACCGTAATTTCGAGTGCCACACATCCAAGATGTAGACTTGGAGCGTGACACCCAATCTATTCCAACAAAATCCATTTAAAATAAATTCTAATTTTAGAAATCCAAAATTCTAAATTCAAGCTTAAGCTAACTTCGTAGAGTTTTAGCTCATATTCTTCCCTAGTCAACTATTTTGCTCAGCTATTGTATCAAAATACTCACATTTAGAATTTTGGCCAAAAAACATTCCTTAACTATACTCTATGTTTAAACCACATCTTTGCACTATCACAATAAACGAAAAACATCCTTCAATTATCTTAAAAATGACAAGATTCATCCTTCAATTAGTTTTTGTTAAAAACTAATGATTGATCAACCCGTTTTGTTTGCTCCCATTCTTCTCTTAGCTTATAATTAGTAATAGACAATCCTAACTAAACTGAATGAGCTAGGAAGAGAGGTTTTTATCCTCAACTTCACAGTAACAGCCACGATGTTCCCGTAAAAAATGAGTAAAATATTTCGAATAAACTATCTTTTGTCCTATATAGTTACTTATCAGATAAGCAACATAATATTATAAGAAAAAAAATGTATAATTTTCTCTTTATTTCCTAGACAAATGAGGAAATTTAAAGTATGAAGGTAGTCTATTTTATTTTATTTTTTGTGTAAATTTGACAAACACTAGTAGCTGTATTTTAAAAAATATAAATGTAACATATTTAGATATTACATAAAAAAAATACTTTTTTTGTTCCAATTTATGTGATGCTTTTTGCTTCTTAAGATTCTAATTATGTGAAGTTTTTATAAATATTTTACTATGTATTTTATCATATTCATGAGAAGAATTGCAACTTTAATATGTGAAAAAGTCACATGTTTATCGATAGTTAATTCTTGCTTCATTTACATAAAAGGAAATGAATTTAACCGTTAGTTTCTATCAAGAAAAAAAAATGAAAGGGTGAATCTAACCATTTTTAGGATAGTTAAGGGATGTTTTTTTGGTCAATATGGTAGTAGAGGGATGCCATTTAAATTTAGAGTATATTTGAGGGATGTTTTTAGCCAAAAACTCCTCACATTTATGATATCTCTTGTATCACTTTTTTTTTGTACTTGAGTTTCTATCATTTACTTGCCAATTTTTCTCTCATTTATGACATTTGTCAATATAATAATTCAACATCGCATACGTCATATTTAAAACTACAAAACTCAAAAGAATATTTTGACACATTACACATTTTTATGTTTACAAGATTAAAATAAAATTTCTATGATCTTAAACTTCATATCCAGTAAAATTAAGACGCGCGGAATTTTGGGGTAGAAATTAGTTATAGCATTTGGTTGCATGATGTCATAATCATAAACTTAAGTCTTGAAGTTGTATGAGATCCATCATGTAAATACTATCATAAATTTTGGTTTATATAATATGGTATACAAAATTGGCCACACACGAATAAGACTTCATCTCCCAAGTTGTCCAACTCTTTCAAGAAGAACTAAGTATGCATAAGCATTCAAACGTTCAGCTCATCCCTATGCTCTGACTTGCAACATCATATATAACATCTCCGATGAGCACCATAACCATCTCGGCCTGATCAATTATCGGAATGTGCCTGACGCGTTTATCTAGCAAGTGACATGCATGTGTTAGAAAAATAGAAAGATAGATTTGAAGTGTGAAATATCATTGTCGTTGAAGAAATATCAGATGCATACTGATTTGGAGAAAGCAGAAAAGTTTCTTCAAGATATGATGAAGCAAATGGATAAGTCACTTTCAAGGAAGGAGTAATTTCTAGAGGTTGAGCAGCCTATTTAGCAAAGGTAACAAAAATCATTGGCAATTAAGTTGGTTCATGGAAACAAAAAAAAGATAGATAAATCACCAGAATGATAGTCAAAATGAACCCATCAATTGGGATACCCAATTTCTGCATTTCTTGAAAAAGAGAAAGGACAGTAGAGTAATGTTTCATACTTATCATAATCTTAAATAAGTTAGAGAAGTCGACAACAGAAGGAAGAGGCTTCATTCTAACCATTTGATGGAAGAGAGTAACAACATCATCTAAATTGCTACTATTTACAACACCAATTACTGTAATGGCATGAAGGAAAACTTCTTACTGTAATTGCCGGAGCAGAATTAGAAGAGATAAAGGAAAATACCGTTTCCATTTCACCTCACCCCAATACCTTTTTGACTCAAGAACATCATGTAAAAGAAATTGCTTAGATATGGAACTGCAAGCAGAAAACTGCCAGGCTCTCTCCCCATGAATCAATAATTTATGAGATTTCTAAGGTTTGGGTTATTGAGATAATCTCTTGGCTAAAAAGAACCAAAATTTTCAAATCCTACTTTAGGAAATCATTACTTGGCCCCAAAAGTAAGAAGAATGGGAATTCCTTGAAAGGCATCCAAGTTTCGTCTTAGGAATTGAAAATTAACCCTCATTTTCCAATTGTTTAGCATGTCCTTCTGTATAAGAAAACCATCTACTTTCATGTAGTACAAGAATAGAGATGTGAAAAAGAGGAGACGTTATAATCACCTGCACGTATTGTAGTACATTGTATTTCTCAGTTGGTCAATTTCAGAGATACCTTTAGTGCCTGCAACAACTTCCAGCACTTGCCTGGGAAGAAGGGAGTTGATATTTTTCAAGAAATAACTATCAAACTATAGATGCAGAGAATCATATGCAGAAAGAAGTACTACTATATTGGCGCGGCATAAATAGTGGAAAATATCCCACAACAGAGAGAATATTATATACTACCTTTGTTTCAATTTGTTTGCCTTACTTTCCTTTTTAATCAATTTCAAAAATGTTTCTTTGCTTATTAGCAACTCTTTAATTCTAACCTTCTATCGGGCATGTTTAAGATCACAAGATTAAAGGGCATTTTGGTACATACAAAATATCTTTAGTTTAAGACCACAAGATTCAAAAATCTTCTTAACCAAACAAACAAATTGAAACAACGGGAGTAATTCCTTTAGACCTTCACTCAAAAGCATATAGAGAGAACTGAAAATATCCAAAACAAAAAAAAAAGGGTAAGCTGGTATTTTGCTTTTGTTCATAGGATGAAAAAGGGAAAGGGAAAAAAATTACCAAAGAATACATCAGACTCAACTCTAAATTTAAACTCAAACCCTACAACCCCCAACCACACCTTATTGTTAAAGCAAACAACCATTTATTCTAATAACTAGTAGGACTAGAAAGTTCAAAATAGGCCCAACAATATTAGACGCGTTTGTGTTGACAGATAATATATAGAAAGACAAATTTCAAGAAAGCTCAAGTATCCCCGATGAATAGATAGCTTCTTTCACAAGATTAACACTTTCCACACATAATCATTGGATTTTAAATTAAAATTTATTTATTTATTTGGACTGTGGCACTTGCCAATTTGAACTTCAGCGGGAATGTGTTGTAAGGATACTTCTTCTAGCTTCTCTGCTTCCATCCACATTTCAGATATTCTCCTTTTACAGCTCTACTTAGAATGAGTTTTCCAAGTCTGTATCTTTTCCCAACTCTAAAATTACTTTTTGATTACACAAGTATTGAAAGTAATTCTTTAACATATAAAAGTGTATTTGATGGATAAAAGAAGGGGAAAGTACTACAGAACACTAATATTCTATAAAGAATATCAAATTTAGAAATATATGGAAGTTGTAGCTTTCATTTTCAATCAACTACAATCTCAGTAACACAGTTTGAATTGATGTCTATAAAAATGGAAAAGGAATCATTTAATTAACAATAAGAATGCATCAACGATTTGAGGAAAAAAATGCATTCAGCCCATCACACTTGTTATCATCTATGCTTTTGATAGCCATGATTTTTTCTTTTAAACTGGTAATGTTAATGCTTTTCATAGGTGCACGTCCTCTCTAGTGATTGGAGTAATTAGAGCTAGTTGTTGACTTCTATTAAGAGTAAATCTTTCTGACAACACCCTTGGATCAATATCAGGTCGCGCATTAGCAGCAGATCCCAATAGCTTCTTCCTGACAACAATGATTTTCCTATCAACATCAGAAAACTCCTGAATTTAGCTTCTTCAATTCATTCTTTGATATTCTTAAGCTTCCACCAGGTCATGTGCATAGAGTGACCTTGTACACGAGGGTGTATCTAGGGAGGTTCCTGGGTTCACGTGAACCCATGCTCCCCTCCGCAGATCATATACATTAGTGTTATATTTTTTTAAAAATACTTAAACATCAAACTGGTCAAATTTATACCATAGATCCACCATTTCATAATAGTGCACACATCCTCTTGAAATCCTGGACACGCCTCTGCATTGTACAAGTATACTCTAGGTAAGTTCAACTATCTTCAAGAACTCCTTGTATTCAGCCAAACTGTTAATGAATTTAAAAGGCCTTCTTCACCCTGAAGAGAGGAACCATATAATCCGCCCCACACCCTCATAAAGCCAAACCCTCCCCGCCCCGTCCCGGTTCCATCCCTACCCCAGATGATACATATTCTTCCTCTATTACCAGAGTTATTACACCATCTCAGTCCAGCAACCTTCTTTATAATTCTGACATCATGCTGTTCCGTTACTCTATGCTCAATAATAGCTTACAGGCTAAATTTTCTCCCTAAGAAACACCTTAAACGCCTTGTGCTTACTCACTTTATTAGCCTGGGGGTGGTAAAATCAACCCAACCCACCCGATGTTTCTAGTAGCTACGAGTTGGGTCATGACCTATTTGTTGAGTTGACTCAGCGGGTTAAACCCAAAATGATCCATCAAACAATCGGGACAGATCGTGTAACCAGCGGTGGGTAAAAATGTAATCCAACCCAAACAAGCAAGGGATATTAAGAAAAAAAAATCTATTTTTTTTTTTATGATTTCCTATTTGGATAGAAATTCTATCAAAACTCAAGTATATTACAAGAAAATAAGGTTGAGGAATGGTCACCAAGCTGGATTTATCAATTACCAATGGCAAAAGTGGTGGCATTCTAATACTTTGGGGAAAAAAACAATGGACAGTCAGAGAAATTCATAGGGGCAGTTACACCATTCATGTTTGATGGAGAGTACAAGAGGAGTTCAGATGGGGTTTCATAGGTGTCTGCGGACCTCACAACAATCCAGAAAGAGAGCTATTGTGGTATAAACTTGCACCAGTAAGGGACTTATGGAATGATTGGTGGGTAGTTGGAGACGACTTTAATGTTTGCAGATACAAGAGTGAAAAATACAACGGTAGTATAAGATCCAGCGCAATGAACAACTTCAGTGAATTCATTCTTAATCTGGGAATTATTGATTTACCTTTACTAATGGGAAACTTCTCTTGGTTCAGGGGTGAAGACTCTCAGCAAGCCTCTTGAATAGACAGGTTTCTAATCTCCCCAGAGTGGAATGGTACTTTCGACTTAATGAAGTTACCAAAAACAAGTATTACATTCAATACTTATGCATTTTAATATTTGAATACTTTCCTGAAATATCAATTATAAAATAAAAATATTGAAATAAGGTAATGAGAAGTTGTCTTGCTTTCTACAGCAAATATTAATCAATGTATTACATTAATTACCAAAACTGTGATTTGTTTAAAAAGGGGGGAGAAGTTGGGTTATAACCCATTGTTTGACCCAGTAAAAATATAGGAAGTGGTTTACCTTTTCAATAAGCCTGCCTGCAAAGCCCAAGCGACGTTCTAATTGGCTTTTCTGCTTCCACAACTGCATTAGAAAGCATTTCTTTTGCAGTGCTAAAAGGAAATTGTATCACAATGATAGTGTAGCCGAATAAATCAGGCGAAAGAAATATTCACTTCATAATTTTTGAGTGAAGCTCTAGTATCATGTCAAGGACGGACGGACTCTCCCTTAGAACGTTTACCAATAACCCAGTTGTAGTTGCATCAAATGAGAAACCCCTACCCGTCATTTCCTTCATAAAAGTTGTCATTTACGTAATTTTGCTACACCTGAGAAATCCCCGCACAAGGACATTGTAAGTGAAGACATTTGGCAGATAGCCATTCTCCTCCATTTTTCTTAGCATATCATTAGCTTCATCTAACAACCCTTCAAGACAAAATCCATGTATCATCTTATTGTATGTTCTCACATTCGGAAGCAATCCGATTAAAGAAAGCTTCTCAAAAATGGCACGAGCTTCATCGAGTTTACCATTTTTGCACAAGCCACCAATGACAATATTGTATAAAATAATATCAGTATCTTCTCTCTTTCCTTCCAACTTATTAAAGAGCGACAAAGCTTCTTCAACAAGTCCATACTTAAAATAACCATTGAGCACAATGCCATGAGTGTAAAAATCAGGTATGAACCCTGCAGATAGCATCTCAGCAAAGAATTTTTTTGCGTGGCCTATTCTTCCAACTTTAAAAAGACCTTGCAAGATAGTACTGTAGGTAACGACATCAGGTTTTGATCCCTTTTGAGAAATTTCACAAAACAATTGCATAGCATCATTCACTTCCTTTTTCATACAGCATCCATTTATTAGTATGTTATAGCTAATAATGTTAGGCTCCATGCCCTTATCAATCATGATATCAAAAATTGTCCTCGCTCTATTGACTTGACCACGCAAACAATATCCATCCATTATTGCATTGTATGTGAATATATTAGGCTCTACACCTTTTCTGACCATGTGTTCATTACTTCCTTGGCATCTTCAACTTTCCCTTCTTTGCATAGTCCATCTATTAGTATATTGAAGATGCGCACATCTGGATAAATATTAAGGTTCACCATCTCAGAGAACCAAGTTTTAACCTTTTCCCACTGACAGAGGTTACACATACCATTAATGAATGAATTATACGTTAATATGTCTGGATGAATGTCTTTCTGCTTCATCTCGTTCAGAATGTTGATAGCAGCATCTAAGTTTCCATCTTTGCAAAGAGCATCTATAACAATGCTGTAGATACATATAGTGGGCTCACGATTACCTTGTTCCATTAACCGGAGTAAACTTAAAGTCTTCTGAGTATGACCCCTTTTGCTGAGCCCATTCATTACAGTTGCATACATGACTACATCAGGCTCACAAATCTTGTCTCTCACCAATTTTTTGAACAATTCAACAGCATCTTTGACCTTATTTTCACTAAAGAGTCCCCTTAATAAGGTGTTAAAGGTGACAACATCAAATGGAATGCCATTCTTCAAGTAAATGGGTAACACCGAAAATGCACAATCAACACGATACATCAGGCAATAACTATTAATCATGATATTTAAGATGAACCCATCAATTGGGATACCCAATTTCTACATTTCTCGAAAAAAGGGAAAGGACAGCAGAGTAATGCTTCATACTTATCATATTGTTAAAAAATTTAGAGAAATGGACAACTGAAGGAAGAGGCTTCATTGTAACCGTTTGATGGAAGAGAGTAACAGCATCATCTAAATTGCTACTATTTACACCAATTTTATCCTTTACTGGAATAGATTTATTACAGTAATGGCATGAAGAACAAGTTCTTACAGTAATTGCTGAATCAGCAAAGAAAGAGATAAAGGGAATACCATTGCCATTGCCATTTCGCAGAGAAATTCTCCTCATCTTCTTCAGTGGCCTATGTGGGTGTGTGGGCGAAGGATATTAGAAAAATGACCTAATATATATCAACTCCGTCCACTTTTAATTGTCATATTTTTCGTAAAAAAATTGCAATTTATAGTAATTTTCGTATAATTTTTTAATATCTAAATATTTTATTTAAAATAAAAAATTAATAATCTTAATTTAACTTTGAAAATTAGTCAAATTGACTTTTCAAAAGTGAACGGAGTAATAAATATGATATTTATTTGATTTTAGTTGGTAAATATGATATTTAACTTTGTCAATGCACATGAGAAATTCTAACTATTTAAAACTTGAATAAATACACATTTGAATATTGCAGGTTATATGCTTGATATATAAACGCTCCTATATGAATTAGTAAGGCTACATGAAATTTTATGTGTATTATATCACGTAAAATATGTGTGTTTACTTGTTTAATATTATACAAGTTAAAATATTTATTTATGTTCATTCAAAATCAAAAAGCATAGATGTTAGTCAAAACCAAGTTAAAAAACATTTTATGCATTATGTCTTTCCATTTTATTTCAAATTAAAAAGTGGTGTTTTGTCTTTAATTAAATAAATGAATTTTATATAATCAAGAAACTACTTTCTTCCGTTTCAAAATAAGTAATATAGAAAGAATTAATATTGCTCTGCCAATTTTTATTTTTATTTAAATAAAGAGAGTTTTACATAAACAAGAAACTATTAAGGAGCTGTATTTTTTCAATGTATTTATTAAGAATAATTAGTAAAAACACGTCTTCTTCTTTTTCAAAACTGAGTAGTTTACTCAGACGAGTTCCAACTCACCTCTATTGTACACCCATTCTCTATATTTGAAGAGTAAAATAGAGAATGGGTTCTCCAACTAGACTTTAATTCACTCTCTATCCTCCGTTTATATAGAGATGAATAACAGTTCTCCAAATTTAGAGAACTACTATTCACAATCTCTATTTTATTTTTTTGATAATTTTATTATTTCTATTATTTTGTAATCAACATATTATTTTTCACACAAGACCATTAATTAAATCTCTAATATTCATAATTCTTTTTTAAATGTAATATTACATTTTAAAAAAATATATTATTTAATATTTGCTACTTTCATCCCGAATTAATATTATTTCAAATTAAATTTTCATCACTTTTATATAATTTGATATTAATATTATTAATTTTCACTATGAAAAATGCACAAAATTAAAATGATAAGATGAAAATTAATTTAAAAATACAATACGTAACATAATAATTTAAATAGAAGATAACAATATGACATGTAACACAATAATTTTATCACAACAATTTTGCTTGCAATTTATATCTATTAATTTGTATATTATATAATATTTGCTTGCAATTTATGTTAATTGGAAATTTAGAATAATATATAATTTTATATTAAATAGAGAATTCAAAAAAAATTTATATTACATTAAAATTATATAAATTGATTATTTGGAGAAAAAAAAAAGAGAGAAAGAATTTATATAAAGAAATAAGAAAGTAAGAATGAAATAAAAATATAATAATATAATATTGAGTAGAGAGAATAAAAATAAAGAACTCTATATTTGATGAGTAAAATAATGATAGGGTTGAAGATGCCTTAAATAAGGGGTGTGTTCAAAACTTAAAACACCACTTAATTTGAAACGAAGAGAGTAATAAAGAACTATATCTTTTTCAAGGTATTTGTTATATAGATAGATTCGTAAAAATATATTTTACTTTTTCAAAACAAATAATTTTCAAATTCATGTTCAAACACCTACAAAAGCATAATTTCAAATTCATGTTCAAAACACCTACTTAGCAACAGTTGCCATATATTTTACAACAAGTATGCTGAAAAATCAATGTCTTGCTAACACAATTTTGCAAAATAGCAAATTAGAGGTTATTACATGAAACTTCTAACAATATAATATATAAAGAAACATGTTCGATTTCATCATTAGCTTCATTATAAATAACTATAAGAAAATAATGCATTGTTGTTGTTGTCAAGAGTGGACCTAGAAGTCCTGATATAAGTTCAACCGAATCCAATAACTTTCTTTAAATCTGTGTTTTCTTCATTGAACAGAATGCATTTATCTTAAAAAATTAAAACCAACATAATTCTCATCCTAAAAAGTTGCGTTTTGTTTGTTTCTCATACACTATGAAAGACTAGCAGAGTGCAGCAACTTCATAGATCTTCCCTACCACTAGCAAGAAGGGCTTCTGCTGCCGAATCCAAATCATGTGGAAAGAAAACCCTGAAAACGTTCACGGTCACGTGAATGAGCTCAAATCTTCATGAGTGACTCAAGAACATTACAACAACAACAAACCCAGTATTATAGAATCCCACATGTGGGGTTAGGGGGGAGTAGAGTGCACTCAGACTTTACCCCTACCTTGAGAAGGTAGAGAGGTTGTTTTTGATAGACCCTCGACTCAAAGAATGTTAAAAAAGAAAAGTAATAAGATAACGAAGGCTAAAGGAACATGCAGTAAGAAATCTTAAAATAACAAGAAATAAGAATAATCTTACACAAGTGAAAGGAAAAGAAATATGTCCGACTACCTTACTAACACTCTACCCTAATTCTCAACCTCCACACCCTCCTATCAATTATCATATCCTCGTATAGCTAAATTGCGCCATATCCTGCCTAATCACTTCATCCCAATACTTTTTTGACTCAAGAACATTATGTAAAAGAAATTGCTTAGACATGGAAGTGCAAGCAGAAAACTGCCAGGCTCTCTCCCCAGGAATCAATAATTTCTGAGATGCCTAAAAAGAACCAAAAACTTGGGTTACTGAGATAATCCCAAAATTTTGGTTTACTGAGATAATCCCTTGGCTAAAAAGAACCAAAATTTTCAAATCCTACTATAAGAAAGCATTCTTGGCACCAAAAGTAAGAAGAATGGGAATACCTTGAAAGGCGTCCAAGTTGTGTCTTAGGAAATGAAAATTAACCCTCATTTTCCAATTGTTTAGCATGTCTTTAGTATAAGAAACCCATCTATTTTCTTGCCGTACAAGTATAGAGATGTGAAAAAGAGGAGACATTATAATCACCTGCACGTATTATGGTACAGTGTCTGGCTCAGTTGGTCTATGTCAGCGATACCTTTAGTGCCTGCAACAACTTCAAGCACTTGCCTGGGAAGAAGAGAGTTGATATTTTTCAAGAAATCAAGATCAAACTCGAGATACAGAGAATCATATGCAGCTAGTAGTACGGCTATATTGCCAAGGCACAAGTAATGGGAAAATATCTCACAACAGACGCAATCTAGAGAGAACTAAAAGCATCCGGAACAAAGTAAAAGGGGGATAAGCTGGTACTTCGCTTTTATTCATGGGATGATAAAGGAATTACCAAAGAATGCATCAGACTTGTCTCTAAGTTCAAATTCAAACCCTACAACCCCAAACCACACCTCATTGTTGAAGCAAACAACCACTTATTCTAGTAACTAGTAAGATCAGAAAGTTCGAAATAGGCCCGACAATATTGGAAGCACTCGTGTTGACAGATCATAAATAGAAAGACAAATTTCAAGAAAGCTCAAGTCCCAGATCGAATAGTTAACACTTTTCACACATAATCTTTGAGTTTTCTCTCTTTTTGTATATTTTTTTGGTTTTTAGTTTATTTATTTTTGGACTGTGGCACTTGCCAATTTGAAGTTCAGAGGGAATGTGTTGCAAGGATAGTTCTCTACCCCTTCTCTGCTTCCATCCACATCTCAGATATTCTCCTTTCCAGCTCTACTTAGAATGAGTTTGTCCAAGTTTGTATCCTTTCCCGACTCTAAAATTACTTTTTTGATTAAATAAGTATTGAAAGTAAATCTTTAATATATAAAAGTGTATTTAAGGGATAAAAGAAGGAAAGATACAGAACACTGGTATCCTATAAAGAATATCTAATTTAGAAATACATGGAAGTTGACAAGTAGTAGCTTTCATGTTCAATCAACTTCAATCTCAGGAACAAAATTTGAATTGATGTCTATTAGAAATGGAAAAAGAATCATATAACTAGCAATAAGAATACTATGACACTCACCGAACTAAGCAAGGCTCATTGCGACCTTTGACAAGGCATTCTTGATCATGCTTATCCTTTTTCTTTGAAGGCCATGAGGATTTCACATACCTTATCCCAGCATGTGTATTCTTAATATCACAGTATGGTGAATCTGTTTCAATCATCATTCGCTCAACAGGTATACCCTTCACAACTTCAAGGTTCTCAGCTGTCTTGAGAGAGCAACCATTTATTCCTAATATAAGTTGTTCAAATCAAGAGACATAAACAGATCCAAGTAAATCAGGGTTGAGCAATTTTATCTCATGGAAAACACATGAGCATGACAGCTTCTAAATTGAAAAGATAGAATACAATGAACCGGAGATTTCACCTATAAGAACATTACTAAACGAAAGAAGTTTATCACAATCTTCAGCACTTCCAGTGAAAGAGTGTGCAACGCCAGCAACAAACCTGTTCAACACAACTGGTTTATCAGAATGCCATTTATACCAGTGTTGTCAAAGGCATGCTTAAGCCCTGAAGCAGGGCCAAAACGTATTGAGCGCTTCACGTCGCTTAATGTGCGCTTCAGTGTCATTCATGCTTATAATTATTAGTCTTGAACTAAAAATATAGTCTCCCTTGGCGCCTTTTTATAATCAATTCCCACACTTTATTTGCGGTTTACACTTAAAGCCCCAACAGACCTTAGGGCTTTTGATAGCACTGATTTATATAAAGCTGCAACAATGAATCAAATAAACTTGAACCATGATAATGTTGTTTAATATATCTTAATCAAACAAAACAAGACTATGGTACTATCTCCACTCCATAAGACAAATTATCCAGTCAAACAGCATTTGAGGTTTTACATTGTTCTTGCAATAGCAAATCTCGGCATAGGCTGGCCCAATAACAAACTCTGACATGAGGAGGT